TACTTTTAAATTACCCGACCCTACTGATACCATGGATGTCAATGAGCTACTCACTATGTCGCCTTACTACAAACCTAGTGACAACTACACGCAAGACATCATTAGCTCAATGATGCTCACAATAACCGAAGAAAAAACAAAGTTAAAAATTATGAATATACATATGGATGACACTACAGATTATGAAATTGAAGAAAGAGATCTTATCGATTTACCTGAAGAAGTTGACGTTGACAGCATGATAGACAAAACAAACGTCGATGAATTCAATCAAATGAAAGACTTCTTAATAACAAAAAGGCATTTCTTTGTCACCTCTTTAAAAGACATAGGCACGACCGACATTTTGGAGCATACTATTGAATTAACCACAGATGTGCCTTTCTATAGGAAACCGTATCACACAAATCCAATCAAGGCTGAATTTATCAAAAATCATGTGCAACAACTATTAAAAGAAGGATTAATTCGCGAGTCAAGAAGCTGTTATGCCGCCCCTGTAGTAGTAGCTTACAAGAAAAATGGAGACATGAGGTTTTGCATTGACTACCGAGAACTCAACACTGCAACCATTAAAGACCGCTTTCCGTTGCCACTTATAGACGATTTGTTGCATGCATTGGGTTCCAGTAATTATTACTCCAGTCTCGACCTATTTTCGGGATTTCATCAAATCAAAATAGCAGAAAAGGACAAACACAAAACTGCATTCATATGCAGCGAAGGATTTTACGAGTATAACGTCTTAAGTTTTGGTCTGACCAACGCACCGGCTACTTTCGAAAGAATGATGCAGAAGGCTTTCGCTGGATACTTATTCAAATTTGTTCTAGTCTATTTAGACGACATAGTGGTTTACTCCAAGACTTTTGAAGAACATCTCAAGCACTTAGATCTTGCCTTTGACCGCCTCAAACAAGCAAATTTACGAGTTAATTCAAAGAAATGTCAATTCTTAGCAAAGAAATTACAGTACTTAGGATATATAGTAAGCATGGACGGTATCAGTCCCAATCCCGCTAATGTTGAGAAGATAACGAATATGCCTGAACCAAAAACACTAAAACACGTGCGACGATTTCTAGGATTATGTAACTATTATCGATGTTTGATTAAAGACTTTGCAAAGATAGCTAAACCTATCACAGATTTATTAAAAAAGACAATCGCAGCGAAAGTCAACAAAATAAATTGGACACATGAATGTGATATTGCGTTCAATAAATTAAAAGAAAAGTTGTCTACCTACCCAGTTGTTGGTCATTATAAGCCTGATGAGCCGATAATCCTCTACACCGACGCTAGTAAATATTCTGCCGGATGGGTTCTACATCAATTACAGAACGGTATTGAAAGAGTATTACTATACGGAAGTTACAAATTTAGCCTGAGAGAACAGAACTATTGTGTCACGGATCAAGAGGCACTAGCGCTAGTAAAAGGCATCAGAGCCGTACAACAATATATTAACAACGCCCCATTTACCGTTCGTGTAGATCATCATAGCCTATGTTTTCTCACAACAATGAAGAATCTTAACGGAAGACTCGGAAGATACGCTTTGGAAATACAACACTTAATCCCCAACTTACGCATAGAATATAAATCTGGGTCACTTCACAAGAACAGCGACTGTATGTCAAGACTTCCGATAATAGAACAAGAGTTAATCGATAGTAAAGCCATTAAGCCATCAAAAGCTAAATGTATTTCAATCGCACTGTGCAAGTCTAAGGAATGTATATTAAACGATATGGAGCGTGCAAGAGAGGAACTGATGCATTTTTCAGATATCAAATCGTTTGAGTATTTTGGTTGGGAATTCACTCTAAACAGTTTAACAAATGTCAAAACTGTTAAAATACACAATAATCAAATAACAGAGTCTAACGCTCAAGAATTAATAAACACCCGCGAAGAACAGCTAAAAGATTCTTGGACTCGGTCACTCATCGAATCATTGGAAAGAAACGAATTAGAAACACAAAAAAGACATGTACTCATTGATGGATGCGTTTACCGAATATTCTATTTTGAGGGACACCCTGTTTATTTGTTTTGCCTACCAAAACACTTGAGAGAATTAGTTCTTTCCGATTTACACGGATCACTAACATCTGGACATATGGGGAGAGATCGCACTATGAGTGAAGTTTACCGTCGATTCTATTGGCCAGAAAGAAAGAAAGAGGTGGATAAATTCGTAAGAAGCTGTAATTGTTGCCAACGACGTAAACATGAGACAACATATCCGAGAGGATTACTACATTCAATCTCTATCGAACACCCAATGGACCTCATAGGCATGGATCTGGTCGGACCGTTACCCCGTAGCAATGACTATCGTTATCTCATTGTTGCCGTCGACTATGCTACACGATTTGTAATTCTGGGAAAAATCAAAGATAGGCAACCACAAGGAATAGCGGAGTTCTTTATAAAGCAAATTTGTCTAAGATTTGGCTGTCCTACGCGAATATTGACTGATCAGGCAAGGGAATTAATATCGCAAGCAATGGAAGTCGTATTTCAAAGTTTTCAAACACAACATAGTCTCTGTGCTCCTTATAAACCTTCAACACAAGGACTAGTGGAGAGAACAAACAGGACGATAATAAATTCTCTCTCATTATACTGTCACAGCAATCAAGAAAACTGGTCATCGGTTATTCCGTACATAGAGTTTGCAATCAACGCATCCACTCAATCTTCTACTGGAAAATCTCCATTTTATTTAATGCATGGTTTTCATGTTCGTAAACCTATAGATGTTGCCTTTGGTCTACCATTCGACCACCCCAAACAAACAACTGGCGACTATTTAGCCGACGCCCGAGAAGTTGCTCGAGAGTTTCTAAAGTCAGCCCAGGATAAACAAAAATTCTATTACGATCAAAAACGAAGTCCACAGTTTTTCGCTATAGGAGACACGGTGGGACGATACAAACTTTTACGACAAAAGGGGGTCAACACTAAAATGCAGTTAAAATATTTTGGACCTTATAAAGTGGTCAAGATACACGGTGACCCACCAAACAACTATACTATTGAAAGTCTTTCAGACCCAAGAGAAAGATCTAAAATCCCTATAGAACAACTTAAATTATGGTACTTAAGAGAACCTATCGAAACAGAATATTTTGAGGAAAATAATAGCCCAAATAACAACGATATCCCGCATGAAACCAATTGTGTTTCGTGTTCACAAATCAGTCTGCGTACTGATAGTAATAATAATACAGGGAAAGCTTATGAGATCCCTGACAAAGGAGTGGTCGTCTGCGAACTTCCACAGTCCGTTAATTATCTTACAGTGGGAAATGAAGACATCATTTCGCCGACTGTTGTATCGACGTCGTCTAACCAATGAAGAAAAGGTGTTCTACATTGGCAGTTTCTTGAAGTTTTACGCGTAAAATATTTGGACTCGCATCGATCACTCTCTTAGTGATCGATACGACTTTAAATGTTTATCTTAAGTATAGCTTGAACTTATTTATCTGCTTTAATTATTGTAGCATTTTAAACGTTTGATGTTTATTATTATCTTGTTGTTGTTTTAATTTGTGTTGTTTTAAGCATTCTAAAATACAAAAAAAATATATATAAAATAGAATGTTGGCTCAGCTCAGGGACTGAACTGACGGTCAGGAGGCCGATAAAATAGCAGTTTGTTTTAAAATAAATAAACTATTTTAAGATTATAATTTTAGCAAAATTGTTATGCACACAGCACTGATTAAAACATAACATACCATTCCTAAAATGGTATCGGTATGTGTTTTAGTAGTCAAAACCCCACCCAAACGTACTGACCAACAAAAACTGTTGTGCTGTGAGGTCCCGGAGCGAGTCGAGTACTAACAGTGTATCAGTAAAGATCAGAAAAATTGTTTCAATCAGAATAAATGTTTTGAAAACAAAATATGTGTTTTTATTATTAGTTTTATTTAATGTTAAGTGAAAATTCATTGAGACTGAGAGAGTGATCCCATAAAAAGGGATAACAAGTGAAGATACGATAGCTATCACCGAACCAGTTCCAGAAAATTGATTGTTAAGTCATATATCAACACAAGAGATAACAACGAGTGAAGATACGATAGCTATCACCGAACCAGTTCCAGAGAATTGATTGTGAAGTCATATATCAACACAAGAGATAACAACGAGTGAAGATACGATAACTGTCACCGAACCAGTCCCAGGGGAATTAATTGTGAAGTCATATATCAATACAAGAGATAACAAGTGAAGATACGATAACTGTCACCGAATTGATCCCAACCGGAACCACAGTCGACATAATTAGTAAGAAAAAGATAATAAAACCGAAACGAAAATCTATTACTACTGAAGAAGTGATTACACCTCAAGAGATAGCGACATTTGAGGACATCATAACTACCGCTGAACCAGTCCAACAACAAACCTCGGGAACTATTCGATCGGTTGATAGAACAGATATCGGGTCAATAGAGAGTCGACCAGTAATTACCGTCGGTAAAAGTGAGTTGACCATTCAATAAGTAGTATACACTGGGCTATCATTGATAAATAATTTTACCTAAGTAGTATACACTGGGATATATGCTGATAAATAATTCTATCTAAGTAGTATACACTGGGCTATCATTGATAAATAATTTTACCTAAGTAGTATACACTGGGATATATGCTGATAAATAATTTTATCTAAGTAGTATACACTGGGCTGTCAATGATAATAATTTTATCTAAGTAGTATACACTGGGCTATATACTGATAAATAATTTTATCTAAGTAGTATACACTGGGCTATCATTGATAAATAATTTTACCTAAGTAGTATACACTGGGATATATACTGATAAATAATTTTATCTAAGTAGTATACATGGGTTGTGACACCTAATGAACAGGTGCCAATACTAGACCGTTACAATATCAATTAAATCAATAATTTAACATAATAAGTTTTTTATTTGCTTATATATTGAATTTATTAAATATCAAATAGCATAACTGTCCCAACACTGAATGCGGTGCAATGGTAGTGACCGAAATGGATCTGGCCATCGGTAACTGTACCCGATGTGGACTAGCATTTTGTACCAGTTGTATGAAACCATATCATGGTGGCTATGATTGCCAGTTGAAAACCGAGGAACGGGAGGAAATGATACAGATATATCAGAGCGAATTGATAGCCGAGCAACTGTACTCTGCGGAAGAGGCACTTGACCGGGCCATAGCCGAAGCGGAACGGGAGGATAAAGCATGGATTGATCGGATCAGAGAAGAACAGAAGGTTATCAGAGAACAGGAAGCGATGATCGAAGAGCAGAGGATAGCCGATGAGGAAAGGGCTGCTGAAGAGAGACGTAGAGCCTATGCCGAAACGTTTAGGCGAGAGGCCGAACTAAGGGAACGGGAGATTATTGCCGCACAGTCAGCTGAACGCGAACGCCGACAACGGGATCGCCAGGAAGCCCGACAGCGTGAGGAACGGGAGTCCGAACAGATTGTCCGCCAAGTGAGCCGTCCCTGTCCTAAATGTAGAGCACCCATTCAGGTATGCATACCATCTCTCTCTCTCTCTCTCTTTCTCTCTCTCTCTCTCTCTCTCTCTCTCTCTCTCTCTCTCTCTCTCTCTCTCTGTCTGTCTGTCTGTCTGTCTGTCTGTCGCTAACAATGTTTACATAATTAGTATTGTGTTTAATAATAATAATTGAATTATTTTTAATATGTTTTCTATTATTTTTATCGGGGGATCGATATGCTTATTGTATTGTATGTATCTAATTATTGTATGTACTGTACTGTATTAGAAAAACGGTGGGTGCAATCATATAGTATGCCAAAAGTGTGGCCACCAATTTTGTTACAATTGTCTCAGTGATCGACATCAAAGTTGCGGCAATTGGATCTAAATTTTTTTGTTTGTTTGTTTAGTTTAACTATTAAATAATTTTTTTTGTGTATATTTATCACTTCAATCTAAAAAATATTTTTTTTAAAAATCTTTTTTGATATAACTAAATGTTAATATATTTTACTGTATATTTTTAAAAAATCATTTAATCATTAATATACACACACTTAATACTATTATATATTATTATTATTAATAATTATTAATTTATATATTTATTATCTAACCTTAAAAAACTAACTGTAAAAATGTTAATTATATTAATAATAATTTTAGTAATATTACATTTAATTGTCTAATTAGTATTGAATTAGCATTTATTTAATAGAAAATTTTAATACAAAATCAATATAAATATTTTTAATTTTCAATTTTTTATTATTATTATTATTGTCTACAGAAAAATGAGGGCTGCAATCATATGACATGCATTCACTGTAAATATGAGTTTTGCTGGGAATGTATGGGCTATTGGCAAGGATATCATCATATATGTCCTAGATAATTTTTTAATATTTTAATTATTATTAATAATTTTTATAATATCAAAATATTTGACAACTAGAAACAAATTGTTTTATAAATGCCAAAAATATATATACTTTTTTTAAATATAAATAATGAGAATATATACAAATTTTTTTTCAATTATTCAATGAATTTATTGTTTTTATATTTTTATATTTTTCAATATATTTATATTTTGTTGTAATTATTGATATTACATTTGTAGTATTGATTGTAAAAAATAAAAAATAGTTATACAGTAATAATAATAATAATAATAATAATTAATATTAGTTGTAATTAATATCCCAAAATATTTTCATAATCAAATAGTTTACATTTAGCCCTCCAGTGTCGCTGTTGTATCTCATCATTATCGGTAATATCATCCAAACATAGCCAACAAAAATGTACCATGCACATTTTACATTGCATATGATTGCAACCATCAATTTTCTTGCAATTTGAAAATTAATAATTAAATCATAAATAATTAATTAATATTAATTTTTTAAAAAATAATGTTAATATTTTTTTAGATACCTGTATAATATTCATATATGTATATGAAATAAATATATATATATAATTATTATACAGGAATAATATTAAATAAAAATATTAACATTATTATTAAATATATATATATATATATATACTGTATATATATATATAAATGATATATAATTAACTAAACAAACAAAAAGTTTAGATAACAACCCATACCTCACACCGTATCCGACATTTGGGACACTGTTTGAAATGCGTGCGAATAAACTCTTCTGATTCGCGATTTTCGACCGCGTGTTTGGCCTGATCTACCAGTGCCTCAGTGCACGTGCGCTGTTGGCCATGATATTTGCGATTACAACTCGTACAAAACGCGTAATCGCATTTCTGACAGTAGCCATAGTTTCTACTGTTATCGATATCAACCGAGTCGTTACATTTGGGACAATAGGCCTATTATATTAAGTAAAATAATTATTAAACAAAAAAAATAAATGAGCATGATAAATTTTAATATCATTATAATTTATGTTATAATTACCATATCGTCCATAACATCGACAGTTTTCTTGAGCAACAGTTTATGATATCTGACCAGCGATTTAGGGCTCAACAGTTTGCATATTAACTCATAGGATGCCTCACCGCCACCACCACCACTACCGGTGCACTGGTCATCGGGACATTTGATATGATGTACCGTACCATCAGTTATCTGAGTGTCCAAATACTGGGCCAAACAATCGGTACAAAACTGGTGCCGACATCCGGTAAACTGTTGACACTTGTCTTTGGGTATGTCATCCAAACATAGCTTACAGTGTAGTTTACCTGGTAATTAAAATATATTAATTTTAATTAAATAATTAAATAATGTGCTAGCTAAATTTTGTTCAAAAAATAATTTACCGGTACTAGTATTGCCTGTTTTTGTTTTTTGGCGATTATTATTATTATTATTACTTTTATTATTAGTAGTATTATTTTTGGTGATATTTGAACCGTTATTATTATTATTATTTTTATTATTAGACGGTTGTCTCACTTGATATTCAGTCCAATTAAGTCCCCGAAGTTTGGCGGCCATTATCAACGCCTGCGATACGCCAGGACTGGTGGCCGTAATAAACAGTGTCAGACGGGGCGGAACCGGCCGTTTATTGCCATTAGACTCGACAATAACAATCATTGCACCGTTAACTGTAGCGTCGCGCCAATTGTTGACCAATTGGCGAACAAAATCGGTAAGATTGCCGACATCAGTGGTGTCCACACCTTTTAATACTGATTTGCATTTAGTTATATTGCTATCTTGTTGTCTAGTATTGTGCAGCAGATCCCGGTTCTCGGACGACAACGACGACTGGCCAACCGTTTCATACACTGACTGGGATTCGGGCTGTGGCGGCGGTGGCGGCCGGTTATTGACTACTGATACGCTACGAGCGTTGGGTTTATGATCCTTATATATTGTCCACGACATACGGCTACCGCGTCTATGTTTGGCCGCTGCATCTAATAGTTCGTGACTGGCAGCTATACTTACGGCCGTAACAAACAGTGTAATATAACCACCACCGTTGGCCACATTTTGTTGTTGTTGTTGTTGTTTACCACCGCAACGCTCTACCGATTCAATCATCTGGCCGTTAACTGCCGCATAATTCCAGTTGTCCACCAGTTGTCCGATAAAATCCCGGAGATTGTCGACACCTGTAGTATCCAATCCTCGTATAACTGATTTACGTTTGTTTATCTCATTATTATTATTATTATTATTATTATTGTAGTTGTTTTTGTTACGCCTCCTATAGCGCTGCCTCGGGTGGCGGGAAGCAGAGGCTCCTATACCAACATTGCTGTCCGTACCGTCCGATTCCGATTCATCGGCAGCTATGACGAGATGACGGTTATCATTGATCTGGCGATTGAAGCTACTATTGTTTGTGGTGACCACCGGCGCCGCCACCGTACGCACCGAACCAGGAATAGCCCGAATCGGATTGTTGTGTATTCTCAAAGTATTTGTTGGCGTCGTCGTCGTCGTCGGCCGGGCGGCTACGGCACTAGAGGTTGCGGTTGTGTTGGCCAACCCATAGCTAGACGACGACGACGACGACCCCAGTCTGGCAAACTGATGATACTTTTGTGGCTCCGTTGTTGGCCTCAATGTTAGCCTAGAGTTTGCCGCCGCTAGTTTCATCCTGGTATGTAATGTACAACTAGTTGCTGGCGGCGGCGGCAGCGGTTGTATTGTTGGTCGTCTGTAATCAGTACTCTGGGTCGTCGTCGTCGACACTTGTCGTGTCGGCTGTGGCCTAGGCTTTACCGTCGGCTGTGAACTGTAGGGATAGCTTACGGGCAGTAGCGGTGACGGTAGTTTAGTTGTCGATGTCGATGGCTGGCGATTGTCCAGTGTATAACTAGTATAGACTTTATTTGTGGTCACATCAAACCCACGGGTGCTGCTGACCGACGACGGCTGACTGTAAGTGTAGGCCACGTCCAGTGAATAGTTATTGACTATTGTAGGCCTAACTTGACTACTAGTACTACTGATGTTAGGGGTAGTCCTGGGGGTGGGGGGTAAGGAATGGGCAAAACAATAAAATATATTTAAATTAATTTTATTAATTCATACAATAGATTAGCATTTAGTTTTAGATTCACTTTTTAATTTAATAGCAATATATTATTTAGTCAATAATTGAATCAAAAAATATTAAAATTGTATTATTTTTACAATAATTATTAGCTTAAACCCAAAAAATCAATGCCATAATGTATATAATTTTTTTTTAAATGTATAAAATACTATTTTTATAACTTATTTTTTGTTGACTCAAAAAATAACTTAATTTTCAATTTAGTCCTAATTTATACTATTTATAAAATATAGTTAACAATTTAAGTTTTTTTGTTAAATATTAAATTTATAATTAAAATCTTATTTTTTTTTTTATAATAAATAGTAAACTTAAATATCAAAAACATATTTTTTTCTCACAACTCATATAACAAATGACCTTTGACCTCAAACCATATTTTGTTTTACAATAATAAAACATTAAATAGTAAATAAAATTTTTAGATAATTAAATATTAATACTTACTTTGAATTGTTTGATCCCATATTCCTTACACTTAATTATTATTAATGTTTTTTTTAAAAAATAAATATCAATAATAATAATATTAATTTATTAAAAATAAATTAAACATAATTGTTTCAAAATCAACAAAAAAAATTGTTGTTTTTAAAACCTAACTTAACATATCATAAATATAAATCTAAATGTATAATAATTATTATTTTTTTATAAAAAAAATATCTGTATCATCCCATCCCATGTTTATGTTACTAAAAATAATATAATAAAATGTTTGCTAAATATTAATAATAAATATCGTATAATACTATAACTGTTAGACGTTTACTATATACAGTATATCACTGTCTAACTTTAACTTTTATTTAGGTGTGGTTCACTATGGGAGTGGGGGGGTGTGGGGGTTGGCTAAAGCAAACTTTTGTGCGAACGAGGGCCAGGGGAGGGGTAGAGAGACTTTAAGAACGTTCGCATTTAGATAATATTTTATTTCTTAGTGTTGGGGAAGGCGGGGGGGGGGGCTAGCGGTTAGGGACATGTGAACGTAATTTTTTTTTTGAAAAATGACTACATGCAAATAATTGCGAACGTAATATGTGAATCGTCCCCTAACTAATTTTAGCTTAAAAATTTTACTTATTATTGTACAGTATTATTATTATTATTATTATTACAGTTTTAAAAGCGCATGTATACTACTGTATTAACATAAATTATATTTAAGTGCAAATATAAAATGCATCAAGTACAGTATAATTACTGTAGTAAAATAATAAATATTAAATTTATTAAATTTTTAATCAAAAAAAAATAAGATAAACTTTATCTAATTAGTTGTATTGATTTGAAACATATCAGTAATAATTTTTTATTATTATAAATTACTAATTAATGTAAAATTGAATATAAATGATTATAATAAAAAAAATATATATACTGTATAATATACATCAATATACAGTGTATATAACTATAAGATCATATTATACAGTAATTAATTAATTTAAATGTTAAATATTTTAAATAACTAATTATTTATTATAAATAATATTATAATATACATATACATATATATATATATATATTATAAACAAGTTTAAACAGCTAAAGTATATATAAAGTTTATACTATTAATATAAACAATACAATTTATATATTACAATAAATAATAAACAAATAAGACAATAGATAATAAATATATATATATATATATATATATTAATATTTAAATATTTAAATATTTAAATATTTAAATATTTAAATATATTGATACATTTTGTGTATATTAACTAAATTTAATAATAATACTGTATATACAAGTACAGTTTATATTGCTTGTAAATTACAATATTTGTAATGTACATAGAAAATGATTATTTTTTTAATTAAAACAAAATAATAAATATTCTATATAATAATTAATTAATTTTTAATACTATCTAATTTTATATTATATAATTATTAATATATTTTATCTACAGTATAATTATTTACTTTATTAAAAATATAAATTGATTACTTATCAGACAATTTAAGTTTTATTATTAGTTTTTATATATATATATATTTAATTATGTAGTTTAATAATATTATGATAATAAAGCACAATAGCAATAATTTATATACTGTATACATACACTGTATAATATTACTATTAAATAAATTATAAATAAAATCTATATTATATAATAAAAGTGTTGATTTTGATTTAAATTCAATTTAATAAAAATCTACTAAAAAAATATTATTATTATTTTAATTATAATTATGGAATAAAAAATATTTTGAATACTTTATTATCAACAAAAAAATTAATAGTTATTATTAATAGACTATATATTTTTTATACTATTATATAATATTTAAAAAATAATTGTCATTTTTTTAAATGTCAATTAATTGTAAATAAAAATAACATTACATTCATTAGATAAATGTTTGACCGATAATTAAATATATATATATATATATATATTATTAGCTTTAATATAGTTTTAGTTATTTATCGGTCAAACAATTATATCTAATCAATAGATAATATTAATATGCAATTTAAACTATATATATATATATATATATAAATTATATATATAAACAATTATTAATATATATATATATACAGTAGTTTCACTTTTTTTATCAAAAAAAAAATAACTGACTTACAAAAAAAGTAATTATAGATTATTATTATTATTATTATTATTATTATTATTATTATTATTATTATACTTGACTTATATTGACTCCCATTTCATACTACACTTGTTGTCACAATCATCGCCGCCAGTATTGACATACTTATCGGCGGCCGCAAGCAACTGGCGATTGGCCTCAACAGACCGGGCCGTTACCAACACGTTTGTCGTACCGGTAGTTGTCTGATCAAACTGTGTAGTTGGGTCAACCCATTTGATCATATCGTCGGTCACTGTCACGGGTCTGACCACACGATCTAACCAGTTGTCTAATAGTGGCCATCAATTCCACCCACGACGACGACGGCGGCGACACTTTGCTAGTGTCCATTCCTCTGATGATTGACTTGCAGTCATTACCACTGTTCCCGTCGGCTGCCGATTGCCGTCCGATCTTTTTTGTTGCCATTGTTTCCGATTATTATTATTATTATTATTACTTATATTTATACTGTAATAACTTTATACTATTAATAATAATAATAACTAATGATTTCAATGTCAAGTTACACATACATTAAAATGTTTATTATCCAATTATTAATTAAACAATTATATTAATTATAAATTATTAATCAATTAATTAATTATATTAACTATAAATTATTAATATATATTAATTTATTATAAATTTACAATTACACTGATGTCAATTCAATGAATTTATTTTGTAAATGTTTTTTTTTTTAAAACTATTAATTATGATAAATCTATCGGTATATTTAAAAAACAAGTTTTATTATAATGATATATTATTACAGTATAAGTTATATAATTAGTAAATGTAGTAAAATAAAACATATATAAAAAATTATATTAATATTTAAATTTAATTAATACTATATATATTGTACAGGTGCTACTGTTTTGTACATGATTTTATAATAAATCAAAATTGATAAATATTTATTTTTTTTAAATATAAATTAATTTACTAAACTAACTTATTATTTAATAGCACAATATTATTAAGATACAATACTAATCTATTATAAACTTTATTATAAGTTTTTACTTAAATTAATGTTAATATATTTTTTAATTTTTTTAAATGTTTTAAATAGCACTTTAATAAGTTATATATTAATTACTTATTTATTTTTTTTATAAAATCTAATTAATTAAAATTTTTGTATTTTTAAATAATATGTGATATTTTTTTTAAATATAACTGCATTACTGTATTAATTTTATTTTTTATTTTTGTTATTTATTATAATTACTTAATTGTTAACTATATTTTTAATAATTTATTAAAAATATTAAATTAATTGTTTATTAGTATATTTTTAGATTTAATTTGAATTAATTATTTGTAAATTGAATTAATTTTATCTCAATATTATTGATATTAATTTTATGTTTCTTTTGTGTTTTTTTGTTGTTTTTTTGTTGTTTTTTTGTTGTTTTTTTGTTGTTTTTTCATCTACTGCTAGTTTTCATGTATGAAAACAATTAATAGTTATTATAACTAATAGACTTTATATTTTTATAGAATTATATTCTATAATATAGAAAATAATTGTCATTTTTTTTAATTTCAATTAATTGTAAATAAAAATATATTACATTCATTAGATGTAATAAACTATGTTTAAATAAATTATGTTTAAACGATAATTAAAAAAAATAATAGCTTTAATATAGTTTTAAAAAAATTAATTATTTGACTCGGTTTTGACCGATTGATTAAATAATTTTTTTACAAAAAATACATTATAAACCATAAATATTACATTTTTTAAATATTAAAATAGTTATTACTATAAAATTTTAGCATTTATTTTTATACTTTAGTTTACATAATTATTATTTTTAAAATGTTTTAAATAGTAATTGTAATAAATACTTAATTATTATATATAATCTTAGTATCAATTTTCTATAATTTATTATAAAAAAAATAATTTAATTTTTTATTTATTTTAATGTATATTTATTATTACTTATAATAATTACTTAATTGTTAACTATATTTTTTTAATAATTTATTAAAATAAAAATATTCAATTAATTATTTATTAGTTTATTTTTAGATTTAAGTTGAATTAATTATTTATAAAAATGAATTAATTTTATTGATTTGATATTTGATATTAATTTTGTGTTTCTTTTGTGTTTTTTTGTTGTTTTTTTCATCCTCTGCTAGTTTTCATGTGTGCAAGCAATTAGTGTTTTAAAATTTTAATTTTTTCAAATTAAATAAATACTGTATTAAGACATTTAAATGCTTACGTCAATAAAATAAATGTCTCAAATACTATGTATTTAAAAAAAATAATAATTAATAAAAAATTAATTAACATTTTTAGTCATATAGTGTCAGTTTTATTAGTAATAAAAAAACATTTTTCAATAACATAAACAATTATAATAATAAAAAATTTCAAACAATATTATTTTTTTTTAATTTTAATATTAAGATAGTTAATCATAATATTTCATAAATTGACACGTCTATAATTATTATTATTGTTAAACATCATAAATAATATAGTTAAGTATTGAATTGATAAGCAAATAAAATTGTATAAAAGCTAACTAAACAAATATATTTTAACATTTAAAATATATTTTAATAATAGTTATTACATTATTATTACTATTACTATTACTATTAATTTTTTCTATAATTTTTTCAAACATAAAATAAATTAAATAAGTTATTATTAATAAATTTAGTAATTAAAACTTTTATTATAAAATAATGAAATTAATAAACAATTTACTGTTAGCAACACTAGTCGTAATGGGTCTTATCTATTGTAAGTATTAATTTTTTTTTAATAATTTTACTTATTATTTACTAATTTTAATTATTATTATTATTACTTGAAAAATTATTCAATACAAACAAACAAACAGTAGGACCGGTATCTACTATAGACGTCAAGTTTGATTTGGTCAGTATATTCAAACGTAATGGTCTAAACCAAATGGCCGAAGAGTTTCATCAGCAATTGGATGAATTGGGCGCAGATTTGCGTCAATTTTTCAACGATTTAGCCAACGATCCCATCGACGATCTGGACTTTGCCATTGGCCAGGATGTCGATACTATGATAACCGTATTACACGACGATCTCATACTGTTTGAACAAAATCTACGTAAAGCTGTTAGCGATGAGTTAGCCGACAGTCTGAACATTGTTGTCAAACTGTTTGAAAAACTTAAGGATACTATCAAACAGTCATTTGATCAGAGAATCAGTGGCCAAAATCGGCCGAATCAGTCACTCTATGGTCACAATAGTTTGTCAAAAGTAATTAAATTATTGGCCGCTTCAACGGGCACTGAGCTAACCAGGGAACTGGAGCATAATTTTAGCCGATTTATTAATGAATTATATCGGGAAGTGGGCATTGGTTTTGATGAGGCCATGGATGACCAGTTGAACAGATTAGGCGGTAGAGATAAGTTACCCGAAAAATATCGATATCTCATTGATTTTGATAAACAATGGGATCAATTGTTTGGACAAATTCAGCAAACATTTAAAAAATTAATTTAGTTTTTAGTAAAATTGAATTGTCTTTTACTATATTTAATTAATATTATTTAATCATTATAATATATTTTTGTTATATCTTTATTATTATTATTATTTTATGGTTTAATAGTTTAAATATAGTTTATAAATAACAATAATTTTTATACAGAAATTATAAATATATGAAAAATTATAAAATTATTTTATTTTTAATAATAAGATTTACAAAATTAATAAATTAAAAATTTTCATTGCAATTTAATAAATGTAAAATAACATTAAATAATAATAAATTCACACACACTATTGATAATTGCATTTTCTTTATAATTACTGCAATTATTTATAATTATTCAATAATTTTTTAAAAAAAAAATCTTTCACTTGTTTCAATAGCAAATAATTAAAACATAAGATAAAATAGTAATTATAGATTATTATCTGTAATTATTCAAAAACAAAAATAATAACAAATGTCCACGGTGAAAAATTATTCAAAAAATATCAAAAAATAGTACCAGTTTGCTAAAAAATAATAATATTATATCAATCAATATACTGTACTAATCAATACGGGGTATAAAGATTATAAAAATTTACTAAAAAATATAACTATTAGTTGAATTAAATATGTGAAATATATCATCAAAAAAATAATATTAGTAGTTACTATATTAGACTTTATAGTATACAGTATAGTTATTTAATGTTAATTAATTGTAAATTTATTTATATATTAGATAAACTTAGTAACCAATAATTAGAAAAAATTACTAACATTAGCTAATAAATTAACACACTGTTTAAGTTTATTTATTATAATTTAAAAAAATAATTATTATAATAAAAATATTAAATTAATTGTTTATTTGTATGATTTTTCTATAATAAACAATTTCAAAAATTAATAAATACTGTTATAAATCATTTAATTTGCGCAATGATTACGTAAATACTAAAAATGTCTTAAACACTTTGTATTTAAAAAAAATCATTAATAAAATTTAGTTAATTAATAGTTTAGTCAATTTTAAGTTCAGTTTCAGTACATTTTTAAATGACTTAAATAATTATTTTAAAAATCAAACAATATTAAATTTTTCTTTTAAAAAATAAAATATATCAATAAATCACACATCTATAATAATAATTATTAAACATCATAAATAATATATTTAAGTATTGAATTAATAGTCTAATAAAATTGTATAAAAGCTACCGAAAAAAAATAATTTTTACATTTAAAATTTATAATAATAATTTATAATATTAATACAGTATTATTGTTATTATTATTGTTACAAATATTAAAAAATATTAAATGAGTTACTATTAGTAAATTTAATAATTAAAACTTTTATTATTAAAACAATGAAATTAATAAACAATTTACTGTTAACAACACTAGTCTACTGTATGGGTCTTATCTATAGTATGTATTAATTTTTCAAAAATTTTTTTAATTAGTATTTACTAATTATTATTATTATTTTAAAAACTATTGAATACAAACAAACAGTAGGACCGGTATCTACTATAGACGTCAAGTTTGATTTGGTCAGTATATTCAAACGTAATGGTCTAAACCAAATGGCCGAAGAGTTTCATCAGCAATTTGATGAATTGGGCGCAGATTTGCGTCAATTTTTCAACGATTTAGCCGCCGATCCCATCGATGATCTGGACTATGCCATTGGCCAGGATGTCGATACTATGATAACCGTATTACACGACGATCTCATACTGTTTGAACAAAATCTACGTAAAGCTGTTAGCGATGAATTAGCCGACAGTTTAACGATTGTTGTCAAACAGTTAGAAAAACTTAAGGATACTATCAAACAGTCATTTGATCAGAGAATCAGTGGCCAAAATCGGCCGAATCAGTCACTCTATAGTCATAATAGTTTGTCAAAAGTAATTAAATTATTGGCCGCTTCAATGGGCACTGAGCTAACCAGAGAACTGGAGCATAATTTTAGCCGATTTCTTAATGAATTATATCGGGAAGTGGGCATCGGTTTTGATGAGGCCATGGATGACCAGTTAAACAGATTAGGCGGTAGAGATAAGTTACCCGAAAAATATCGATATCTCATTGATTTTGATAAACAATGGGATCAATTGTTTGGACAGATTCAGCAAACCTTTAAACAATTAATTTAATTTTATGAAATTGAATTGTTTTTGATTATATCTAATAATATTATTCAAAATAACTATAATAATTGTTTTTTGTTTGAATTTTTTTTAGTTAATTAATAAATTTTCAAATTTAATTATTACAAAATGTTTATAATTTATTTAAAAATTTTTATATAGCCATCGATTTCATATATTTTGAATAAAATATGCATTAATACTAATAAAAATAATAAGTAGGATTATTAGTAGTATTAGTATACACTAGTTATAACTATCTATAAAAAAATTGTAAATTAGTTTTCGTTAAAATAATTAATTTCATGTTTCTATAAATTGTTTAGTTAATTAATACATGTTCAAATTTAATTAATACAAAATATTTTTGTTGTTTATAGTTTTTTTTTGTTATTATTATTTTCTATACAGCCATAGATTGAATACACTATTAACATGAAATAAATTTTTTATACAGTAATTTAAGCCATTAAGTTTCATACATTTATTTAATCAATATATAAAATTTATATAATAAAAATAAACTTAAATATTAAACACTTTAAATGTTGAAACATTGTAAATTTTATATTTAATTTAGTAAATTCAGTATTTTTTTAATATTAAATAGTATTTATATAATTGTAGTGCTAATTTTCAAAAAATATATTTTAAATAATTATAAAACAAGAGATTATAAATATTTATATGCAAATAATAATCAAAATAATAAAATAGTAGATAATTAGTAAAATTGTTTATTAAGTTTATTATTTAATAGATAAAATAACAATATATAACATTATATAGATTGTGAAAAATTATAAAATTATTTTATTTTTAATAATAGGATAACGTTAATTATTGAAAAAATAAAAACAAATATTCATGGTAAAAAATTATCAAAAAAATATCAAAAAATAGTACCAGTTAGTTAAAAATAATAATAATATCATATCAATCTACAGTATATACTGTACTAATCAATACAGGGTATTATTATTATAAAAATTTACTTAAAAAATATGCCTATTAGTTGAATTAAATATGTGAAATATATCATCAAAAAATAATAATATTAGTAATTATTATATTAGACTTTATAGTATACCTTATAGTACTTACAAAAAAAAATATTATCATTATTTAATGTCAATTTAAAAATACATTTATTAATAAGATAAAGTTGGTAACCAATAATTAGAAACAAAAATTACTAACATTAGCTAATTTATTTACACATTGTTTAAGTTTATTTATTAAAATTAAAAAAATAATTATTATAATAAAAATATTAAATTAATTGTTTATTAGTACGATATTTCTATAAATAAATTTTTTTCTAAAATAAATACTGTAATAAATCATTTAATCTGCGCAATGATTACGTAAATACAGTAATAAAAATGTCTTAAATACTATGTATTTTGAAAAAATCATTAATAAAATCTTATTTTAACAGTTTAGGCAATTTAATGTTCAGTTTTATCACTAATAAAAACATTTTTAAATATCTTAAACAAATAATTAAAAAAAATCAAACAATACTGTATTAAATTTTTGTTTTAAAAAATAAAATATTTCAATAAATCACACTATAATTATAATTATTAAACATCACAAATAATTAAATATTTAAGTATTGAATTAATAGTCTAATAAAATTGTATAAAAGCAACCGAGAAAAAAAACATTTTCACATTTAAAATAAATTTTAATAATAATTTATATTAATATTATTATTGTTACAAACATAAAAAATATTAATTAAATAAGTTACTATTAGTAAATTAAATAATTAAAAACTTTTATTAATTAAACAATGAAATCAATAAACAATATACTGTTAACAACACTAGTCGTTATGGGACTTATCTATTGTAAGTATTAATTGCGGAAAAAATAATTTTAATTATTATTTACTAATTATTATTATTATTTGAAAAAAAACTATTGAATACAAACAAACAAACAGTAGGACCGGTATCTACAATGGATGTCAAGTTTGATTTTGTCAGTATATTCAAACAAAATGGCTTAAACCAAATGGCCGACGAGTTTCATCAACAATTGGATGAATTGGGCGCAGATTTACGTCAATTTTTCAACGATTTAGCCGCCGATCCCATCGACGATCTGGACTATGCCATTGGCCAGGATGTCGGTAAAGTGGTTACCGTATTATACGACGATGTAGTACTGCTTGAACATAGTCTACGTAAAGCTGTTAGCGATAAATTTGCCGTCAATTTGACAACAGTTGCCAAACTGTTAGAAAAACTTAACTCAAATATCAAACAAGTATTTGAACCGCGAATCAGTGGCCATAATCGGCCGAATCAGTCTATCTATCGTAAGAATAATACTATGGGATCAATGTTTCAACAATTGTCTGTCTCATTGGGCAATGAACTGACCAGTGAATTGAGGCCTAATTTTGGTCGTATGTTATGCGAACTATACAGGGAATTGGGTCTGGCTTTTGATGAGGCATTGGATGAACAATTGAATAGATTGTCACCACCCGGTGCTGGTGGTAGAGCTCAGTTACCTGAAAAATATCAATATCTTATTGTTTTTGATAAACATTTGGATGAATTTATGGAACAAATTGAAAAAACTTTAATTAATTAAGTTTTAGTTTATTTTATATTTTAATTTTTTTTTGTAAATTGAATTGTGTTTTTATTATTATTATTATATAATCATTAATAATTTTTTTTTTAAAAATACTTATTAATAGGACTATATTTTTTTAATAAGAAATACTTAATTAAATTTAATTTGTTATTAATTTAGTTATTAATGTAAAAAATTCTATTATAACTTATGTATATTTTATTTTAGAAAAAAATATATAATAAAAATGTTTTATATATAATACTGATACAGTATTTACTTTATTAATAATAACTGATTAAATAACTTAAAATATATTATTTAATATTAATAGTATTTATATAATTTTTTAGCAAAATATTTTAAATAATTATTAAAACAAATGATTATTTTTTAATGTTTTATTAAGTGATTATAAATATTTATATGTAATGAATAAAAACAAATAAATCATTCATTTTAAGCAATGAATACATAAATAATAAAAATATCTTAAATTTTTTTTTTAAAAATTTGAAAAATCATTAATAAAAACATTTTTACATGACTTAAAAATTATGAAAAAAATCAAATAATTTATAATTTTTCTTTTTAAATAATAAGATAGTTAGTTATACATATTAAAATGTTTTTTTAAATAAATATTTCATTAAATGACTTAACTATTATAATATATAATTAAACATTGAATTAATAGTCTTAATTAAATTGTATAAAAGTTTATATTTAGGTTTATTTTGTCTGTCAATCACTGATTATAAATGAATAAAAAAAAACGTTTATTAATCACACAATTTGTGTCATATATTTAGCCGATTATTGTCTTCGGCCTTAATTTCGGACAAATAATTGATAGCCTATTTGTGACATAAAACTTATAAAACTTAGACAATAATCGGCTAAATATATGTCACAAATTGTGTGATTAATAAACGTTTTTTTAAATTTATAATCAGTAATTTGTAACAAAATAAGCCTAAAAAATCAACTTTTATACAATTTAATTAAAACTATTAATTCAATGTTTAAGTATATAGTATAATAGTTGTGTCATTTAATTAAATATTTTTAAAAAACATTTTAATATGTATAACTAACTATCTTATTATTTAAAAGAAAAATTAAAAATCATTTGTTTTTTTTGTTTCATAATTGTTATGTCATTTAAAAATCTCATTTATTAATGATTTTTCAAAAAATAAATACTTAAGATATTTTTTATTAATTATGTATTTCATATATAATGAGTGATTTTTTGACAAAAATCAACTTATTATTAGTCAATTAAATAATTATAAAACTTATTATTATTAAACAAACAATGAAATTGATAAACAATTTACTGTTAACAACATTAGTCCTAATGGGACTTATCTATTGTAAGTATTAATTTAATAAAAAATAAATAAAAATAATTTTAATTATTATTTACTACTTATTATTATTTGAAAAAACTATTGAATACAAACTAACAAACAAACAGTAGGACCGGTATCTACTACTATGGACGTCAAGTTTGATTTTGTCAATATATTGAAACGTTGTGGCCTTAAACAGATGGCCGACCAGTTTCATCAGCAATTGGATGAATTGGGTGCAGATAATCGTCAATTTTTCAATGATTTAGCCAACGATCCTATCGATGATCTGGACTTTGCCATAGGCCAGGATGTCGGTACTATGATAGCCGTATTACGTGCCGATGCCCTACTGTTTGAACATCATTTACATAAGATTGTTAGCGAAGAATTTTCCGGCCGTCTGAACGGTGCGGCCAAACTGTTAGGTAAACTCAACGATATTATCAAACAGGTATTTGAGCCGAGAATCAGTGGCCGTAAACGACCGAATCAGTCACTGTATAGTCATAATAATATTGGTCTAGTATTTCAACAATTGTCAGTCTCGATGGGCAATGAGCTGACCAGTGAACGGGAGCCTAATTATAGTCGATTGCTTAGCGAATTGTATAGAGAATTGGGTAATGGTTTCGATGAGGCCCTGAATCAACAGTTAAACAGATTGTCGACACCCGGTGCTGGTGATGGTAGAGCTCAGTTACCCAAAAAATATCAATATCTCGTTGATTTTGATAAGCAATGGAATCAATTGATTGGACAGATTGTGCAAAATTTTAAAGTATAATTATAATTTTAGTTTATGAAATTGAATTGTATTTTATTATTATTCAATAACTAAATTTATAATAATTATTAATAATATAATAAAAGAAATACATAATTCAAAAAATTACTTGTATTTAATTATGTAGTTTAATAATAATATAGTAGAATAATAAATAATCTATAATATAGATTCTATATGTTTCTATATAATATTATTATAAAAAAAATTTCAAAAAAAGTATATATTATTATTATATTGTATTTCAATACTGTATATTAGTGTAGATTTTGATTCAATTGAATTTCTATTTGAAATATGGCTATTAGTTTAATTAAATATAAAATATATCATCAAAAATATATACATATAATTATTATTATACTGTATTAGACTTTATAGTATTTACAACAACAAAAATAATTTTTAATTATTTAATATCAATTACAATGTAAATAAATGAAATATATTTATTGATTAGATAAATCTGGTAACCAATAATTAGACAAAAAAATAATAAATAACATTAGCTATATATATATATATAGTTTATATATATATATAATTACATAATGTTTAAATTTATTTATCGGTCACACTTATTTATCTAATCAATAGATAATATATAATTTAAACTATTTATTACTATAAATAATCTAAAAAATTGTTGCAACATTGTAAATTTCATATTTTATTAATATTTACTAAATTAAATATTTTTTTTTAATATTAAATAGTATTTAAATAATTGCATTTAATTAAAAAATAAATCCAATAATATAATAAATATAATAATAGATAAAATTATTCTTTTTATGATTTAATAGTTTATAAATAACAATAAATTTTACACAGATTGTTAAAAATTATAAAATTATTTTATTTTTATTAATAAGATAACGTTAATTAGATTTTATTTAACAAAATTATCATTACAATATGATAAATGTAAAAATAACAATTGAATAATAAAAATTTTAGCACACATCATTGTAAATTGCATTTTGTTTACAAATTATTGCAATTATTGAATAATTATTGAATAATTAAAAAACAATTATATAGATTTTTTTTATAAAAATGTTTCACTATTTTCAATAGCTAACTTAAAAAATAATTTTTTAAAAAATAACATTATAAAAGTAAGTATTTCGATAATTATCGATAATTATTTTTTTTTTAAAAAAAAGATAAAAACAAATGTTATGGTAAAAAATAATTTTTAGAAAAAAAAAACAATATTACAAAATAAAAAATAGTACAGGTAAGTTTAGAAACAAATAATATCATATCAATCAATTATACTGTACTAATCAATACCGGGTATTATTATTATTATTATCATTACCGGTAATCCAATCGGGTATTAAATATTTTAATCATCAAAATCATACTCAAATAGTTTACATTTTGATAGATAGTGTCGTTTTCGGTACGCCTCGTCGGTAATATCATCGAAACATAGCCAACAAAAATGTACCATGCACATTTTACATTGCATATGATTGCAGCCATCAATTTTCTAATTTGATAAAAATAAAACAATAATTATTTTTTTAAATAATTTCTTTGAATTCAATAGTACAGTAAGTTTGTTGTTGTTGTTATTTGATTAAAAAAACAAACTATAAATCTATGATACAATACCTCACAGGGTATACCACATTTAGGACACTGTTTGAAATGCGAGTTAATATAACTCTCGGACTCTTTGATTTCGGCCGCCCGTTGCCTGAGTAGAGCCGCTGCCGCTGCATCGGCGGCCGAATCAATGCACGCGCGCTGTAGGCCGTGATACGGGCGTCGACAGGCCGAGCAAAACGAGTGGTCACATTGATTGCAATAACCAAACTTTCTGGCCTTATCGATATCTACCGAATCGTTGCATTTGGGACAGTAAGCCTAAAAAATATAATAATTTTTATATTTAAAAAAAACAACAAACTAAACGGTATATCCATTATTTTTTTTCATTAACAAAAAATACCATATCATCCATTGTTTCCACTGTTTTCTTCAACAATAGCTTATGATATTTGACCAGCGATTTACGGCTCAACAGTAGACAAACTAACTCATAGGAGGCATCTTGATTGCACTGGACATCCGGACACTTGATATGATGTACTCTGCCATCGGTTATCTTTGAATCCAAATACAAGGCCAAACATTCCCGACAAAATCGATGTCCACATTTTGAGTCAAATTGTTGGCTACTATTGTCGGGTATATCAGCCAAACATAGCTGGCAATTCAAGTTAGCTAATTAAACAGAGAAAAAAAAGTTAATTAATTGATAATTTACGGTAAATATGATACGGTATTTATGGTACACCAAAAAAAAAAATACATACCGTTACTAATTGTTGATTGATGTTTGGTTTTATCACTTAAACTTAAATTGCTCAGTTCATTGTCAATCAATTTATCAATAAATCCCCTAACTATTCAAATATAAATCAAATATATATAAATATAAAAAAAATTATATATATATATAAAAAGTATTTAAATTTACTATTTTTAAAAAAAATGATTACCGGTAATTTTAATATTAGTAGTATAATTTATTTTTTTTCGAAAAAATTATGGTAGATTTATACCATGGTCAATTTCAATAACATCACTAACTTACCATCATCATTATCGGTACCATTATTGGTGTTACCGATGATATTACTATTTTTACCGATAGATAGATCAGTTGTTGTTGTATTTCGATTCATGTGTTCAACAATAAACCATTTGAGACGTTTACGTCGGGCAGCATTTTGCAGTTGACGACTGGCCCACGTACTGACAGCCCTGGCCATTAGCTTCACCTGCTGACCGCTAACGGGTACCTGTTTGACGTACGGCTCTACCGATACTATCAGTGCACCGGTACAAGTACTGTGCTTCCAATTGTCCACTGTTTGCCGGACAAAAGCGGTTAAATCGGTAACACCTGTAATGTCTAATCCAGTAATAGCCAGTGTATACGACTGGCTATTAATCGGGTCGTAATGATAGCGAAACGTGTGCGGCAACCATATAATACTACCGGTGCTCGAGTTATACTTTTCGGCCACTGTTTTCAGTAATAAACTGTTGGCATTGATATCGCTGGCCATCACAAATAGATCGGGCGGACTCTTGTCGATATCAGTTATTGTGTTTCGTTCGACCGATTGGATCATTTCGGCTGTAATAGTCGGGTCGTTACAGTCGGCGACCAATTGGCGAACTGTTGCCAACATAGCTTGCGATTCTTGACCGCTAGTATCCAAACCGTGAATAACTGAAATACATTTACTATTGGTGACCACTTCACGAACTTCACGGGCCTCTTGTTGTTGTTGTCGTCGTTGTTGAACCAACTGTTTCGGGTCCAGATATTCCAACCAATTGACACCATTCTGTTGGCCGGTTTCAATAAGCGCACGGCTGGCTTCCGTACCGCATGCCGTTACAAACAGAGTCACGCGATCAGTACTGGCCGCCTTATCGGCATTGGACGTAACCGACATAATCATTGCACTGTTAACTTTCGGATCTTTCCAGTTGGCGACCAATTGACGGACAAATGCAGTCAAATTGTCGACACCTGTAGTATCCAAACCCCTGATAACCGATTTAATGTCGTTTCTTGTCGGCTGATAAATCGGTGGTCTTCTCTGTTGTTGTTGATGATGGTGTCGGTGTTGAGCCGCCGACTGTTTGTGGCCAACAATATTGCCATTACCCGATGCTTGTAGTGATGCTAATAGTCTATCGTAATCTATCTTATTACTCGGTAGTGATGATGATAGCCGATGTTGTCCTCTGCTATCACCAGCTGATTGTTGTTGTTGTTGTTGTAGTGGTCGATGATATCTCCGGTATGACTCCCATCTCATACTACCAGTGCTGTCACCACCACCGCCGTCGTCGTCGCCAGTGTTGACATACTTGTCGGCGCCCGCAAGCAACTGGCGATTGTCCTCAACCGTACGGGCCGTTATCAAAACATTTGACTTGCCTTTGGCTGTCGGCCCGAATCTGGTACTACGGCCAACCCATTCGACCATATCGTCGGTCAGTGTCGGATCTGACCACGACTTGACCAGTTGTCTAACAGCGGCCAACAGTTCAGCCGCCGTCGATACTGTGCTAGTGTCCAGTCCTCTGATGATTGAGTTGCGGTCATTACTTAGAGAAGTGGTGGTGGCCACTCTTCCCGTCGGCCCCGGTCTCACATTATTACCCGATTTTCGTAGTGGCCATTGTTTGCCGTTATTATTATTATTACTCATATTTATATAAAAAACTTTATACTAAATAATAATAATAATAATAACTATTAATTCAATTTCAATGTCATTTCAAAACAACAACAAAAATGTTTGAATTTTTTAATTAAACGATTAATTATTTTTTGTTATTATTATTATTACTAAAAAAAATTTTTTTTGTGTTATGTTTTGTATTACAATTAAAAACTTAATGATTAAAAAAAAAATCCAGGTTTTTATGTTTTGTTTATTAGTGTTTATAATAATAATAATTTTAAAAACAAAACTGTATTTTTTAATTATTAAAAAACAAAACAAATATGTTTTTCATATAAACAGTTAGTAATAAACTAAAAAAATTTTAGATAAAAAAAACTTTAATAATAACAACAATGTGTTTCAACCAATCAGAGCATTGCATTTGTAGTGCAATAAAATACTTTTTAATATTAATAAGTTTTAGTTTAGTATAAACGTTCATAAACTACGTCTATAACTGTATATAGTTTTGGGTATAGGGGTGGGGGAGGGGGAGGGTGTAGAAAATATTATATTAACTGATAAGCATTAGACAGTAATAGTGTGTTTGTGAGAGAGAGAGAGACAGGAGGGTGGGGGGAAAAATAACATACATTTTTTTCAGGACGTATTTTATGTACTTCACATACAAATAATATATGTGTAAATTTAATAACCCTTTAATTTATTGCATCAAATGTTTACAATGTTGTATATACTGTATAAAAAAAAATAATAGCGCTAAAATTTAAATACACATTTTAATAGTACCATGTAAATATTCAGTATATAAATTTTTTTATATATTTTTAATTAAAAAATATCTCTTATTTTCAGTAATAAATTACATGTTTTTTAAAATTATTAATTTTTTGTTTATTAATAAAATAAAAAGTAAAAAATATACAGTTTAAGTATAATTATAATCGTAAGTTTAAAAAATTAAATTGATTTATAATATAATAATTAATTATTATTACCGTAAGTATATTATCACTGTATTCATCAAATTGCAAATGTATATACAGTATATATATATATATATATATATTGTATATTACCGATAATTAAATTTTATTAAAAAAATATATATATATTTAATATTATTAAACTCTAATTACGTATTGAATTGAATAATAATTAGTTTTAATCAAAACAATTATGTTTTCAATCAATTTGTTTTGTTGTTTACAATAATATATTTAATCAAATTATTCCGATTCGTATTCAAATAGTTTACATTTAGCCCTCCAGTGTTGTTGTTGTATCTCATCATTATCGGTAATATCCATCAAACATAGCCAACAAAAATGTACCATGCACAGTTTACATTGCATATGATTGCAACCATCAATTTTCTATTTGCAAAAAAATAAAATAAATAATTATTTAAAAAATTAAATAAAAATATTATTTGTTTTTTTTAAAAAAATATGAATACCACACATACCTCACAGGGTATACCACATTTAGGACAGTGCTTGAAATGTGCGTTAATATAACTTTCCGACTCTTTGATTTCGGCCGCCCGTTGTCTGAGTACAGCCGCTGCCGCCGCCGCATCGGTGACCGAATCAATGCACGCGCGCTGCAGGCCGTGATACGGGCGTCGACAGGCCGAGCAAAACGAGTGATCACATTGATTGCAATAACCAAACTTTTTTGGCCGATCAATATCTACCGAATTGTTGCATTTGGGACAGTAAGCCTTAAAAAAATATTTATAATATATTTTTATATGTAAAACAACTAACTAAACGGTATATCCATTTACCATATCATCCATAGTTTCCTCTGTTTTCTTCAACAATAGCTTATAATATCTGACCAGTGATTTACGGCTCAACAGTTTGCATACCAAATCATGGGAGGCCTCCTGATTGCACTGGTTGTCCGGACACTTGATATTATGTACCCACCGTCAGTTATCTTACTGTCCAAATACTGGGCCAAACATGCGCGACAAAACTGGTGCCGACACTGGGCGTCAAATTGTTGGTCACCATTAACAGGAATATTAGCCAAACATAGCTTGCATTTCAATTTAACTAAATTAAATAGTATTACCGGTAATTAAATATTAATTTAAAAATAAAAATTTCACTTATGGTACAGTCCATTAAAAAAATAACATACCGGTATTAACCGCTAATTTTTGGAGATTATTATTATTATTATTATTAGTTGATTGATGTTTGGTTTGGTCCATCAAATTTAAATTGTTCAGTTCATTGTCAATTAATTTATCAATAAGTCCACTAACTATCGTAAAAAATAATAATAGTTATTAATAACAAATAAAATTTTTTAAATTTAATACTAAAAATATAATTTGAAAAATTTTTGTTTTTTTGTTCATACCTTGGTCAATTTTAATATCAAACTTACCAACATTATCGGTAGTATTGGTGTTACCGATGATGTTGTTGTTGTTGTTGTTGTTATTATTGTTACCGATAGATAAATCAGTAGTAGTAGTAGTAGTAGTTGTTGTTGTATTTTGTTGCCTGTGTTTTACAATAAACCATTTGAGACGATTACTTCGACCTAACCTAACCAGTTGTCGATTAGCTTCGGGGCTAACGGCCCTAACAATTAGTTCAATAAATTGTCGGACCGGTAAGTGCTTGACATACGGCTCTACCGAAACTATTAGCGAACCGGTAGTTTGTTTATCATTCCAATTGTTTACCAATTCTCGTACATAACCAGTTAAATCGGTGACTACACCCGGAATGTCCAATTCGGTAATACACGACGTATACGACTGGCCATTAAACGGATCGTAATGATAGCGATACGAGTGCGGCAACCATGTAATATCACTACTACCGTCGGTAATCGAGTTAATGTTTTTGGCCGCTGCCGCAAGTAATAAACTGTTGGCATTGATATCGCTGGCCATCACATAGAAATCAACGGCCGCCGAACTATCATTTTCGGTACCGCTTATTGTTTTTCGTTCAACCCATTGAACCATTTCGGTGGTAACAGTCGGGTCTTCAAACTTTGAGACCAAATTGCGAACCACTGACAAAGTAACCACTGAATCAAATCTGGTGTTCAAACAGCGAATTACGGAAATACGTTTACTATTGATGACCACTTCACGGACCTCTCGTAGTGGTCGTCGTTGTTGTTGAACCAACTTTTTTTTCGGGTCACGAAATTCAGACCAATTGACACCATTCAGTTGGCCGGTTTCAATAAGCGCACGGCTGGCTTCCGCACCGCAAGCCGTTACAAACAAAGTTACGCGTTCAGTATTGGCCACTTTGTCGGCATTGGACGTAACCGACATAATCATTGCACTGTTAACAGTCGGGTCTTTCCAGTTGTCGACCAATTGACGTACAAATGCAGTCAATTTCTGGACACCTGTAGTATCGAAACCCCTGATAACCGATTTAATATCGTCTCTCGACTGCTGATGATTAGGTGTCCATCTCTGTTGTTGGTGTTGTTGTTGCTGACGGTTATGATGTTGTTGTTGTGTCGACTGTTTGTGGCCAACCCTATTGCTATCACCCGAAGCTTGTTTGTTGCTCGTCGGTAGTGATGTCCGCTTGTCTACAGTATCACCCGCTAGCAGTGGTGGCCGATGATAGCTCCTGTATGACTCCCATTTCATACTACCAGTGCTGTCATCACCGCCGCCGTAGCCACTGTTGTTGACATACTTATCGGCGGCCGCAAGCAACTGGCGATTGGCCTCAACCGTACGGGCCGTTACCAAAACATTTGACTTGCCTTGAGCTGTCCGCCCGAATCGTGTACTTCGATCAACCCATACGACCGTATCGTCGGCGGTCAGTGTCGGGTCTGACCACGACTTGACCAGTTGTCTAACAGTGGCCAACAGTTCAGCCGCAGTCGATACTGCGCTAGTGTCCAGTCCTCTGATGATTGATTTGCGGTCATTGCTATAAGTAGTAGTAGTGGTGACCACTGTTCCCGTCGGCCCTGGCCTTCGATTATCACCCGATCTTTTTTGTGGCCATTGTTTTCGATTATTATTATTATTATTACTCATATTTATAATAACTAATAATAACTAATAGTTATTAACAATTAATTTTAATATCACATCAAAAATGTTTGGATTTAATTAATTAATTAATTAATGTTTTTGTTTTGTTTGTTGTTTTATGTGATAATCATGTGATCATTGAAAACCAGTAAACAGTAATAAAACTGTATTTTAATATTGAAAAAAATATAATAAATATTTTTCATATTAAATGTTATAAACATTAAACAAAAAAAAAATACTAAACGCTTATTGGCTTTTAAATTAATAAAGTTTTTTTTAAAGTTAGTATACATTTCATAAACTATATATAGTTTTTTTTGGTGGGGGGAGAGGGTGGGGGGCTATATGGGTATAGCATTATTATACATAGTAAAAATATAGTGGGAATAAATATAAGTTATATTTTTTTTAACAGCGGACGTATTTTATGTACTATACCTTATAACTGTAAATTATATAAGTTTTTAAATAACCCTTTATTTTATTGCATCAAATGTTTACAACAACAACAAAAAGTGGCGCTAAAATTTAAATGATAATAATTTTTAAATTATAATAATTTTTATTAGTAAATAATATTATATTTATTGTAATGAATTAGGTAATATTTTTTTTAATTATTATTTTTTTTTGTTTATTAATGATATTAATAGTATTTAAAAAATTATAAAGTTTGTTTTTTTTGTTGTAAGTTTTTTAAAAAAAAGTAATTTATAATATAATAATTATTATTATTACCGTAAGTATACAATATTTTCACTATATTTATCAAATAGCAAATGTATGTATAATACCGGTAATTATTTATTTTAATAACATATTTAATATTATTAAACTATAATTACGTAATGAATTGAATCAATTGAGTTTGAATTAAATAATTAGTTTTTGTTTTCAATCAATTATTTTTAATTTAACCGTAAATTTCAATTATTCCGAATCGTATTCAAATAGTTTACAATTATTCTGAATTAAAATATTCAGATAGTGTCGGTTGCGGTACTCCTTATCGGTAATATCCATCAAACATAGCCAACAAAAATGTACCATGCACAGTTTACATTGCATATGATTGCAACCATCAATTTTCTATTAGATGAAAAAATTAAATAATTTTAAAAAAATTAAATAAAAATATTAATTTTAAAAAAACATATGAATACCACACTTACCTCACAGGGTATATCACATTTAGGACAGTGTTTGAAATGTGCGTTAATATAACTCTCCGACTCTTTGATTTCGGCCGCCCGTTGGCTAAGCACTACCGCCTCTGCCGTCGCCGCATCCATGTTGTTGTCGCCGTTATCGATGGACACGTGCGCTGCAGGCCGTGATACTGGGATTTTCTTTTTAAAAAATCATTTTTTATACATTAAATATAATATTTTATACCAAAAAATAAATAAATAATAATTATACATAGTGTTAGGATAAATAAATAAACAAGATAATTTTGTAATTATTATTTAAATATTTTTTTTATTGTTTTTATTAATTGATATAATTATATAACTGTAGTTTAAATATATTATTTAAAATATATTTTTTATATTAAGTTACCGAGGTTAATTTAATATATTATTAATGTTATTATTATTTAATATTATATTACTTTTTTATATTAATTATTTGTTTATATATATTTGTTTACATTTATTTAATTGTAATTTTAACCGATGTTATATACATCTACACTGTAGTTGTATAATTTATTACATAAATAATTTGTTACAAATTACTAAAAAAAATAATATATATTATGATTATGTTATGAGATATAAAAGAGATGGGTATGTGATGTGATATGTGGGGGAAAGAGAGTAAAATAAAATGTTTTATATTTTTTAATAGTTAATTAATATATTATATAATTGTATTTTTTCTAAGTCTTTTAAAAACAGTTTTTGTCAATAAATATAAATAAATAATAAGTTGTTTTAAATAATAGTTTTTTATTATACAATTTTATTTAACTAATTAATATGAATATAGACTATCTATTGATGTTACCCTTAAGTGTTTGTTTAATAATTATTTTGGTTAAAATCAAATAAACTAAACGACTTTTGCGTAACAATAGTTTATGATTGTAATAATTTTTATAATAATAGTCAAGTAATTATAGAATCATTTACTATAAACAAAAATTTATATTATTTTAAATTTTTTTTTAATAATAATTACTTAAATATGCAATTATATTTCACAATATGTATTAAAAAATTTTAATAAAAGTAACGGTTGATGAAGTAAGAGATGGCACACAAAATGATAAATGCTATAATTATAGCCATTATTATCCATTATTATCTATAATTAGTGGCCAGTTGTTGTTGGTTTGGTTTTATTTAGTATCCCTTATAAAAATTATTATTTTTACATCGCTATCCCATCTATTAGGTGTCGGTTTTAGTATATTACTGTTGGATGTGATACTGTCGGTGGTTATAGTTGTTGTTGTTGTTGTTGTTGTGGTTTTGCTAATATGACAACAGCGGTGACTTCATATCGCTTGTGAACGGATTTACAATAATTTTTTTTATTAATATCATAGGTTTGCTGAACGGTCTAAACAATAGACTCTGTGTTGTATTGACTGCCTGTTTGCTGTCCAGTCAGTAGACTATTTATACTGACAGAAAATGTCGGCAAATATTTATAGGAGAAACCAATTTTGACCGAATAATGGCTGCGTTTGTAATCATTTTGGATTAGATTTATATATTTGTTGTAAATAAACGACTAGTTGTTTGCTTTATTGACTCTTTTTGTACTGCATTAGCCCGGGTTGTCAGTAACAGCTTTGTGTAATATATCGGCCGTTTGTGCCAATATATTGTCAAATAGATCTTAAATATATGATATAAATAAATATTTATATAATTATTGTTGTTTATAATTTAAAATTAAATGATAGAGAAAAGAGAGAAAAGAGAGAAAAGAGAGAGACAGAGAGAGACAGAGACAATATCCAGGATTTGTATCCCCCGTTTTTACAATGATTGCAATGCACGGGGTTTTGAGAACCCTTAAACTATGTTTCTCTCTAGTTTTGTTGGTTATACTGTGTATAGCACTCATAACCGCCGAGAGTGCAGTAGTTAGAGGAGTACCCCTATTAACGATAGGACAGCATTATATATGTGGACAGTTCTTCGTACACATATTATCAGAGACAGAGACAGAGAGAGAGAGAGAGAGAGAGAGAGAGAGAGAGAAATTAAAAGTATTCAAAAGAGTATTTTAAATAACTTTATAATTGTTTCCAATCTGTCAATCCTGTCTAATCGTGCCGTTAGCTTAAACAGTCTTTTGTCCACCGATTCATTATTAACATTGCATTTCGTATCTTATAAGTCAAATCAGATTATAAGCAATTTATAAGTTATATTTATAAATAAAGTTAATTTTATTATAATATAAAATAAATAAAAAAAATAGTTTTCTTCAAATCCTGTAAAAAGATTGTCTACTGGTTTTGGTCTGATCCGTGTTGTGACAGTTGTACAAAATCGTTGATGTCGTATGCATTGGTTATTATGTATATAACTAGTCAGTTGTCTCGGCCAACCTAAACATATCAATACCCTCAAAGACTTTTAAGTAAATAAAGTTTTTAACGGTAATGTAACTAATATTAAAATTTTATTAGTTTTCATAATATTAATTTTAAAAAATATCAATAAATGAGTAGACAATGTTGTATACGAAACAATTTTCCAGAGTCCCTGCTATTTGTTAATACTGAATGAAATTGAATGTAATAATGATTTTAATAATTCATTTGTTAATTCACTGAACGTAAGTTAATATATGGAAAATATATCTTTATATATTTAATTTTTATTAGAGTGAGACACTAAAAAAATATAATAAATAATAATGTTATAATTAGATCTTAAATTCAATCCCTTTAATCTAAATAAGTGTAAAGCATTTCAAAATAGAATTAACAAATACATATATGATTATTAAAATGATTTATAATATATTATAAATATTTGTAAACTATATAATTGAATTTTATTACTATTATAAAATATGATTTAATATTTTTTTATGATTTTTAATGAATAAATTAATCTTTAATAATTATAAACATTATATTTTATATAACTTAAAAATTATACTTTTATTTAATAATTTCTTTTTTTTATCATCTCTTTTATTCACTTTTAACAATACTTTTTCACAATTATTACAGCAATCAGCCCGAGATCACAGTTTTGTTTAGTGATGGTAGGGTTGGGTACGACGTAGTGTCGCCAACTTCCACAAACATCTATCACATCTCTATTGGATGCGACAGATCGGATGATGCATACAAAAGCTGTATACCATATTATATAGAGATGGTATGATGTGTTTACTTATTTACTAATAATAGCTGATGTTTTACATCAGCTATTTTAATATATATATATATATATATATGCAAAATGTTAGCCAATTGGCGGGTTGTTATGTCACTGGTTTTAATACAACCTTTTTAAAAGGTTAGGCTTTTCTTTAATAATAAATAAAAAGTTAAATCTTGACGTGATATAACATTTAGAACAAATTATCACATATAGGAGATATCACAGATACAAAATATCACAATTAAAAATAATTAAATTATCACAATTAAAATAGATAAAAAGAATACTTATATATATATACAAATAAATACTGTCCATATTAAAATATATATTATGACCGGTAATTGACAAAATCCGGCGGTGGCGGTGGTGACAAACGTAAGTGTCGTGTAAACCCTATTGGTCGCTTCCTTTCTAAAACAACCCGTAGCAAGGCATGGGGTGTTGGTCGACAATAACAGTATAACGTTGATGGACATCGAGGAAAATGTCACCTTGGCTACGTATAATGGCCAAACACAGGATGGCCTAGCGTAAGACAAAGGATCGCGCATTGGATTACAAAATTATACAGGAGTTTGTCGATGAGTACGTATTTATCGGTGTAAATGTCACAAAACTGGACCAACTCTATGACATATCATTGGATGACAAACAGGTTTTCAGTGACACCGATGAATCTTCTTCTAGTGATTCTTCTGGAACTGAGTGAGATTCCGATTTTGGAAACTCGTTATTTGGTGTGTCTATTGATATTTTTTCTTGTCCACCAAAACCTAGTCGTTCAATCACACCGTATCTACCAATACCTTTTCCTGCACCTATACCAAGACAACCACCGTTATCATTAGAACCACCACCACCTCCTATACCTAAAGATACATATAGTATACCTAAGCTAACGACACCACTACATGATCCAACTATTGAGAGCGAATCAGCTCAAATATACAGAGAAGAGTGTATAAGACGTTAAAAAGAAAAAAAGACATACGGAACATAAAATACGAGAAGAACAACAAAAACTAAAACAACTAAAATAAAAAATAAAAAACAGCACCAACAACAAAGACTAAAACGATTATTATAATATATTTTTATAATTAAATATATATATATATATTTAATAAAAAAATTTTAAAATATTCTTTTGTTTTGTCTGTTTTGTCTTATCAAAGGTAGCCGATTACGATGAATCAGCAGTAAACGTTGTATGATAATACTGGCGGTTAATTGGACGACATGACAGGACGGGAAAGATGGTTTGGTGATGTGAATCGACACCGGGACAAATGATTTACATAGTGACGTAAAAGTACCAAAATCGCAAAATCATAACAATATTTATAAATATAAATAAGTTATGATTATTAGAATACAAATATAAATTGTCACATTATTACAAATCAATTTGTCGATAAAAAATAATTATTTAATTCAAAATCATAATTAAGAAAATTGTCGTCATCAATAAAATTACACGAATCATCCATTGTGTAAAAAATAGAATTTATAAAAAATAAAAATTAAGTTAAAACAAAAAATATATAAATAAACACTTACAAAACTTACAATACATATAAAATATAATAACTATAAAATTATCTTGCTCATTTATTCTACCTTAACATTATAGTTTAACTTAAAAAACATACTAAAATTTATTAAATATATCTATAAATAAATTATCAGTTTTTTTTAAAAATTATTATGTAAATTAAATTATATAACCATTACAATAAATAATCAAATTCAGATAGTCATTAGACAATAAACTCATTGTTTCTATTTATTTAAAACCAAATGACATTTACATTCATAATTAAGTTCGTATAAATTTATTTTCACACTTATTAAAGTTAAATTTAATAAATATTTTATAATTATTAACATTATTAATAATTATGATATTTGAAAACATTTACATTATATTAATGATCAAACATTATTGGGTTATTATAAAAAATATTACAATTTGTAAAATACATTGTCATCTCTGCGACGCATAATGAATGCAATGATATTAAAATTATTTCAATTTTATAAAAAAAATATTATAAAATATTTTTATAAATACTTACCACTTGTTACAGGATTATCAGTATTTTGATCGATAATTATTATCTGGTAACGTCTAGTAAATAACTATATAAATCTTTCAATAATAAAATTTTAATAAATACATATGTAAAATGGAAATTATATTGATTAATTAAATATAAAATAATCAATTATACTTAAATATTTTATGTAATTAAATTTATTTAAAGTTATAAAAATAGTTTTAAGAATATTTTGTTTTTCTTTTATAGTTTATATTAAATATATTGTTACTTTTACTACGTTGATACCACATATCAATATATATTATTGGAAATATTTGCTATAGGATTCTAATACATAAAAAATTAGTTATTTAAGTAATTTTAAGTTTAAAGATAAAATTTAGAATAAAAATTTAAAAAGTAACCGAAATCCAGGGAATTCACAAAATATCTTATTGTAGGAAATAATTTCAAATAATTTAGACATTGGATAAATCTAATTGACTGAAATACGTTTTTTACTACGCTTTTCTAATCGTTTAGTGATGACAGTGTTTCTATTGTTGTTGAAATTAGATTGACCATGACGAAATAAAATCAAAAAATTAAATCAACTTCAGTTACAAACAATACAAAAATAAATGCTGGAGGTGTAAAATAATATTAATAAATCTTATTAAAAACATTTATATAATTGATTGTATAAACGCATTTATTGTTGATCCTCCTGATCGTCCTAACAAATAATCAGTGCTGTCGTAACATTTATCGTATAAAGTGATTATCTAAAAAATCGTTTGGGGTTTCGACGGCAATATTTCGAAGAGAAATTGGTAGTCGACTCGACAACCAGATTGAAATTTTTGGTAAACTTACCACCAATTCCATGATTTTAATCGCTATTCCTAGACTACGTGTCATTCATGTCAATTGTATTTTTTCTTGAGATGATTGACAAAATCGTAACTCAAACTCTACGTAACTTTTGTTTGTCGTCTATTGGATGTCCATAACCTCGATCTCACTTATAGCTCGTTCTGAACAAGAGTTGTTTTTTTGTGTATAATTCAATCCGTTTATTAATATCCCGTTAAAACGGTAGATTATATTTGTAATTATTTGCAGATTTGGGCAATTATTGGTGACATTGCGGCCACTTTAGTCGGTTTCGACCACTGAATTTTTTTTTATAATTAACACCAATGCATATGACATGCATTAATTTTTCTTTTATCATGCGATTTAAAATAATTTTTAAATTAATAAAAAAAATAAAATAAGTCATTGTCTTCAGTCATAACCTTTTTAATTGTTAGTTGTTATTATTTAATCTTTTTATTGCCATTTTTCGCTTATACTGATTTTGTCGGACAAAAACCGCATGACTTTCATTTTCATCTGCTGTCGCATAAAAAACACAGCAATGGATCATAAAATTACAGATAATGTTTTGAATTAGAAGAAAATTAGTTTCTATATGTTTCATATTATTTAATTCAATTATTTTAAAATATTTATTAACAACATTACAATATAACAACAAAACAAAATTAATAAATAAGGTATTACTATTTAATATATAATTGAAATGTAAATAATAAATTATTGGTGGAGGTGCAAATAGAATTATATTATTTGACTATTAAAAACTTTATTTTTTCTCTCTCATAATATTTTTTATATAATAATTTTTTAAAACACTTTATATAATTACCAATTAATTAATTAAAGTTTTCCTTTAAAGTTTTAAGTCTATTAGCATATAATAATGCAATATCATTAATTAATGTATATAAATTAACAATTAATATTTAAACTTTGTATTATAATTGGTCTTAACTGCGAAAAATACATTTTAACTAATGATATAAAATTTAATTGATTTTTGGGGATATAATTCAAACATATATTCTTCTTACTTATCAAATTCACATTAAAGTGTATTATATAAAAAAATATTACGTAATTAATATTTAAATAGTTTTTTTTGTTTATTATATAAATTAATTTAATTATAAGCATATGTCATTTACATATATAATTATGATCATTTAAAATCTTATTATTGTCTAATAAATTTATTAAATGTATTAAAATTATAAATATAAATACAAATGTACGACATTGTTGTGCCGATTATTGGCCGACTTCTTGTAACCAATTTGTCTATCCTGATCCTGTTGCAGATTGTCGATTAAATCTTTCAAAAGATCGTACTTCGTTTTTGGCGGCTATAAGTTCTTTTCCAAGATGTATGTCTTCAGCCTCCAATTTCATACTTGCTACCTACTGTTAATTTCAAATTGCACAGAAAATCTATTCTAAATCTAATAGTTTGGCTAATGTACAGAACTTATATAGAATCAAGATTACTAATTTATAAATTTATAAATTTTATTATTTTTATTAAAAAAATTTATGATTTACTCAACACATTAATGACGGGAATTTGGTTTTCGATCATTTCCAACAGCAGTTCTCCACTAAAATTGTAATCTAAACCAATTTTATGCACAAAATATTAATATAATAATTAAAATACTGTTTAATTTTTATATTTTTTTATTATAGTATAAAACGTAGACTTTTTTTTTGCTTTAACTATATTTCTACTTAATATTTTTAATTTATCCTTTTGTCCATAAATTAATTAATTTCACATTAAATTAATTTCATGCATATTCATTTATTAAAAATACAATTGATTTTAAATTATGTTAAACCATTTTTTATATATATTGGTATATATTTAGTATAAGCAAATTAATAACTTATATTTAGATTTCAAATTATTTTGTAAACAATTTAGACAATTACGACAAGTACTTTTGTGTTGTTAACAACACTAATAATAATAACTTTAACCTTTTATATTTGCACCTTCTCCATTTATTTAATATTTACACTTGACGTATATATTTTTAATATGAACACGTAATAAAAATGATTTTTATTTTGGGTTAATATTTGGTAAATGAAGAGAAGAAGGGTCAGTCGACCATTTTTATATTGAATATTAAATGTGTGTGTTGTTGGTGTTGGTGGCCGTCCTCCGCCACTCTTTAGTGATCGGCTCTCTCCACCCTGTTCTAGAATGGCGGATGATTGTCGGCACAGCGCAGACGAGACAAAATAAAAACGGTTAAAACATTTGAAAAACAGTACACGTCGATAAACAATTCAACATCAAAGACAAAGACTTTATTTAATTAATTTTTTGCTAATTATTTCTAAAATAAAATTGATTATTGAATTGTCACTTCAATTGATCCAATCATTCATTCATTCGCTCATTCAGAAGTGTCTTTCAATTCAACTGTCATCAATAGCGCTAATTTGTTTTTCGTATTGAAATTTTGTTTTTATGTGAGATAATCCATAAACTCGTAAACATATATTCCTCGCATTGATTTTTTTTCTAAATATTTTTGTATTTGTTGTCTTTTTAAAAATTATATGACCTATGTTTTTATGCGCAAGTATTACTAAGCGCTCATACGGCATCATTA